AGCAAACTTTAAATTCATGGCTGAATAACCGGATAAAAGTCAATGATCTTATTGATTAATAGAATGGAGAAAGCAAAGTCTTCAGAATTAGGAATGCAATGAGTTAAGTATTTACTTACTTGTATAATTTATAATTTCCTTTGGTCGATAGGACTAGACATGAGTAAACTCACAATGAAAACAATAAGTGATAAACAGATCAAGGAAATCAAAAACCTGAACTTTGTTTACAGTTACTGAGTTTGTCCATTAAAATGAAAATGAAGTTCATTTTCACTATTATAATTTTTATGATAGACAGTTATGGTGAATACGAGCCTTAGAGACCATACAGGCAAATTTGATCCCAACTATTGAAAGTTCAAGTTTTGCATTAACTCGTTCAAGAAACTCTTTCAAATGGTCTCAATGTTTATTTACCTGGGTGTATGGAGATAAAAGACGAGCACACTTGTAAACACTATATTCAGCCTCATTTACCTCAATTTTTATTCAAATATCTAACGAACCAAAATGCTTCTTCGAAAAGTCTTTTGAATAGCCAACAATGAAAAATGTTGTAAAAAGTCAGCATTTGTCAGCACTAAGCAGCAGAGAAGCTACACAAGTTTCTATGAAATCGATTCTTTTGCCTCGAAATGATTAGAGTACGATATCTTAAAACTAATAACGTTAGATGTTAGCCTGTTTGCAGTTATAAATCACGAACGATTGATGCAACAGTTCGTGATTTATGACGACAAACCTCAAATTCGTACCATGAGCTGTCGAAGACTGTAGATCAATAAATTCGAGCTCTCAAGCTCATTCAAGAACCTAATTATTAAAGATTCTTGTTATTTGACCTCTAAATGACATTTGAGGTCACTTTCTGAGTGCCACTTTTTCACGAATGGTTTATGTTTATAGCTTATACCGTTAGAAAGATGAAACATCTTTCTCAAAAAATTGATTAACTGAACGGAATGTAAATGCTCATATCTTTTTCATCAACATGAGTTACCAATATTCATTAGAAGCAAATCAATTGAGATTTATTTAGTCAAACACAAATTATAAATATCGAAATTTCATACCACTACAAACCAAATCATTCAGTTTCTTTTTCATTGATTTCATCAATTTTTGCAGGTAATCAAATACTTATATCATATCTTTTTCCTCAACATTAGTTACCAATATTCAACAAATACCAAAGCAATCGGACATGTTAGCCTTAAATGTCATTTAGAGGCCAAATAACTAAGCGAAATTATGACCTTAAGAGTTCGAATTTATGATTCTTCAATTTGGGACTTGTACTGACCGAATAACATCAAGAACTAACTTCTGCTTCTCAAATTATTAGCGCAAACGAGCTCGAAGGATAAAAACGCAAGTCTCTTGAGTTAAGTTTGCTTCAATGGCTCCATCTTCAGTAATCTATACAATATATAAAGTCAAACTATGAAATTTTTGCGGGAAGATTGCGGCCAAACTAAACGGGTTCTAAAGAAAATTTTCACATAGAATGAAAGCAATGATTAAACTACAATCGCAAAAAATAGTTCGAACTTTCTCGGAATTCAAGTTACTGAGTAATTAGTGTTCAAACAGGGTAGGGGAAAAAACGCAGAATCCGTATCTTTTACTATTGACATTGGGGGAAAAACTTTTTGGTTAATCAGGTTGATGGTTTATTGTTGGTTTAGAAGGATAATTAAAACTGTCTTTCGAGTAAAGAGTTAAGTGAGAAATATAGTACCTTAACTGTACAACAAGATTTCATTTTGTTCAGCTGTATAACCAGATTTTATTTTATTTTTTAGTTTTTCTCATTGACGATGGTTTTTCATCAAGAATTTGAGTCTTTAGATATGGATTGAATTTATTGTATTTCAGTGAAAAAATTACGATCAGTCATGATCGGGGGTTCCACTTGTAGTAATAAACTTAACAATAAATTGGGTAAAGAATTTTCAACCGGATTAATTTCTGGTTCATCAAACGTTATTAGGACTTTTGTGTTTATTCTTGTCTTTTTTTAGATAATTTCTTTCGATAGTCTTCAAATATTCCTCGGCATTTATGCAGATAATTCAGACAAATGATGAATAATGGCATTCGGCAATTTTGGCATTTCTTGCATTTTAATCCAAATCAGTTTGAATGCTCTGGAAACAGTGACAGACAACATTTTCAAGGTAAGTTGTTCACTCTAATAAAAGAGTTAAATTTTACTCTAAGATTTGATGATCAAATTGTTGCCTCAAGGATATCGTCTGTAAATTGTATCTCAAAATTGTTTATCAATTGTAATTCAGCATTTAATTTCATCATTTCATCAAATCAGTTCAATCATCATGAACGCAATTAACTCAAATACATAATGATACAATTGTAAATGCATTTTGTTTATTTGCAAATGATCATTAATAGTCAAAACAATTTGAAAAAGACTAAATTAATTGATTGAAACAGTTTCCAGGCTTTATCACTATTCGAGTAGTTTTACTAACTACAAGTTAATTCACTTAGCAGTTCAACTTACTGTGCTATTTAAATCAGGCAATCAACTCATTATCAAATTGTGTTGCCGGATTATATTGTGAATAGTCGATAAATTTGATGAAATGGTTGCGTATTGACTTCAATCGACTTCAAATTGTCATCAGAGTTACTAAATCTTTGTTTAACATTCAATAATTTTCAATTTATTTACAGTTTTGCTTACATATTTTTGTTACATTCATCTAAATCAATTAAATAATTTGATTAAGCCACTTGAAACTACAATTGACAAGAAGGTCACAATTGTAGTCATCGCCATATCAACATCAACAAATTCAATCATCTATTTGTCCTTCAGTCTAAATGGAGAGTAAATGTATCTTTGCCAAATTGATAATTGTGATTATGATTAGGGTTGGGCAGTCCTTAAAAGCTGTTTCAAACTAACAAATTATAATCATTTAATCACAAAATATCATTACAATCATCTTATCACTTCTCCTCGTCTTTAGCTTCTTCCTCATCAACAAGAATCTTGTTCATTCTCAATCATTTTCATATAACTCATCAACAAACCAACTCAACACAAACTTGAATTGTTTTCCTCACCATAGAGCTTCTGTGAAACCATTTGGCATAATTCAATTGATTAACAATTTAAATCATCAACAATCGAGCAACAATGTCACAGCATTGTGAAAATAATGATCAGGTAAGATTTGATTTACTACAACTGCTGCCATCTTATTAGGTACTTAATAAGTAGGCAAACTTTCGTCTGTTTTTTTGTTTATATTGATTTTTTATTCAAATCTTTATTTGTTATTAATTTAATTTTTCATCTTATTTTATTATTGTGATTATTTTCATAAAATGGTCAAATTTAGGTCTTGACTAATGGTCATGGTGGAACTAAAGATAATGGAAATCTTTGTGTCCTGTTCTCTGTGAAGGAAAACGTTGGTGCTTTGGCTGAAGTCCTTAGAATATTCAAAGTAATTGTCTTCTGATTGATTTTTTCCGTTGTGATTTATTTCAACACTTCAAGTGTCATTAATCATATTCAGCATTTTTTTCTTGTTTCGCTAATCAAACCATCTTGTTACTTTGTCTTATTTATTACAGGAGTATCATGTTAATTTGGCTCACATTGAATCAAGATCGTCCAAGCGTTTTTCAGATGATTATGAGTTTCTCATCGAAATCGATACTCGGTCTGAGTCAGCAAATATTGACAAAGCATTAAATGATCTTAAAGGTATCTCCACATACATGCAAGTTATTTCAAGAGAGCCACGAGGGAAAGAATCTGTTCCATGGTTTCCAGTTAAAATAAAGGAAATTGATAACTTCGCTAACCATGTACTATCATATGGAGCTGAATTGGACTCTGACCATCCAGTAAGAAAAATTTTAAGCCTTTTCCTGCCAATCATTCAGCATTTAGAGAGATTAATTGGCACTTATTTTAAATTCAATTTGCATCTCAACTGAATCTTACATTGATTATTGTGATTTATCTATAACCAGGGTTTCACAGATGAAGTTTATCGTAAACGTCGAAAATACTTTGCTGATTTGGCTTTCAATCATAAACAGTGAGTTCAATTTAGTTTGGTAATTGTTTTAAAATTGACTAATTTTTCTTTTCTTTTCTTTTCCTAGTGGCCAACCATTACCAAGAGTTGAATATACAGAGGAAGAGATCAACACTTGGCGAACTGTTTACAACCAATTAACAAGTCTCTATCCAACCCATGCTTGTCGAGAGCATAATCATATATTTCGCTTGATGATTGAAAACTGTGGCTATGGACCAGATCAGATACCACAATTAGAAGATGTCTCTAATTTCCTTAAAGGTTAGGAATACTTTCATTTTCGTCATTCGTTCATTTTCAGTCATTTTTGTTTATTATCATTACCGACGGCTTATTTCATTTGAAAAATTTAACTTTGTAAATAGAC